TGGGGGCGTGCTGTGCACTGAGCGAGGGCACGCTCGCTCCCCGCTGCCCCGCGGAGAGACCTGCCGAGGGCTCCCGTCCGGTGTCCTCGGAGACCTGAAAAGCCCCGGGGGAGACAGGCAGTCGAGGGATCGGGCCGAAGGCTGAAGGGGTTAAAACAGGGTGTGCGTCCAAAATGAAGGCGGGAGAACAGCTCTCATCCCAAGAAAGTCCCTTCTCAACAAGCCCACTTTGCTCAGCGGCTCCAGACACAAACTTTGAGACTCCCCAGGGCTCCTCAGCTCGGCTGCAGGACCCACCTACGGCCCCAGGACCCACCTACGGCTCCACCTCCCTCCAGGGCAGTGACCAGTGGGAGACTCGCCTCGCCCGCTCTGTCCAATCAGAAGTCTCTCCTCCGCACGTCCCGCCCCCAAAGGCGGGAGGGGGCGGGGAAAGTCCGGGCCCAGGCTTTGGAATGTGAGCGGACGGGACCCTTGACGTCATCAGGGAACTCCTCCAGCCGGATCGCCGGCAGCAGACCAATGGAGTGCCTGAGTCCAGCAGTGATGGCCTGGTGTCGGGGCCAATGAGAATGGGGCTCCTAGGAGGGCCAGCCAATCGAATAGCGACAAGAATACATTTTTATAAAAGAGGGAGGGTGAGCCCAGCCTCCTGGAGGAGACTCCGCAGGAGTCAGCGCGCATCGGGGGAGAAAGGAGCCTCTGTGCGGGAAGATGTACAGATTGTCCTAACTCTTTCCAAATACGTTAGCTCATTGGAGTCTTTCAGGATTTTAAAAAAATGAATTACGTGTTATAAACAAATATAAAAATTCCCCATTACGCATAAATGCGTATTAGCACAGTTCTAGCAAATTGCTTTTTCTTTGCATGTTTAGCCCTTTTTGTTCTGCATTTGCTGCTGACATGTTTTTTATGGGTTTCAAATATAGTAAGTGTACTATATTTCTTCTTTCATTCGCTCCACGACACTATTGACAAGAGGCATGGCTTGCTTTTCCAGGTCCTAGAGCAATGAGCTAAAGACCTTTAATTCGTAGAGCTTTTATCTCAGTGGGAGGAATCAGGCAATAAACAGATTTTAAAAATAAAGGCATAATTTCGGAAAGTGATAACTGCTATTATGAAGAAAAATAAAAGCCCGGTCTATGCTGTTATATGCAGCAGCGAGGGCAGTTCTGGGAAGGTGGAGTTTGAGCAGGGAGCTGAATGAAGTGAGGTCTGAGGAGGAGCTGGCCTGTCCTGACTGACAGAGGCCAGTGTGGCTGCAGCAGGATGTGCTGGGCAGTGAGCAATAGGCGGGGGGCCCGAGACAGGCTGGAGCCAGACCACCAGGCCTGCCAAACTAGCAAAGAGCCTAGTCTAAAGTATTTCCCCCATTGTTGTGATTTTTCTTACCCCCTTGAGATTCCTCCTTTTAAGAAAACAAAGTCCTGCCCGGCTGGGTGTGGCTCAGTGGTTGAGCGTCGGCCTAGGATCCAGGACATCGTGGTTCGATTCCCCGTCAGGGCACATGCCGGGGTTGCGGGCTGGATCCCCAGTCCCGGGTGTGCAGGGGGCAGCCGATCAGTGACTCTCTCATCATTGATGTTTCTATCTCTCTCTCTCTCTCCCCCTCTTCCTTCCTCTCTCTGAAATCAATTAAAAAAATAAAAAGATTTTAAAAGAATACAAAGTCCTAGCCCAGCTGATGTGGCTCAGAGACTGACTGTGGACCTATGAACCAAGAGGTCCCTGGTTCTATACCAGTCAGGGCACATGCCTGGGGTTTGGGGCTCTATCCCCAGTAGGGGGAGTTGCAGGAGGCAGCCGATGGATGTCTCTCTCTCTTTCTCTTGTGGATGTTTCTATATGTCCCTCTCCCTTCCTCTCTCCTTAAAATCAATAAATAATATACGGTGATGAGAGAAGATATGACTTTGGGTGGTGGGCACACAGAGCAATATACAGATCATGTAACATAGAAACCCACACTTGAAACCTATATGTTCATATTAATAGTTGTCACCCCAATAAATTTAATTTAAAAAAAAATAGCCCTAGCTTGTTTGGTTCAATGATTAGACAGTTGGCCTGAGGACTGAAGGGTCCCGGGTTTGATTCTGGCCAAGGGCATGTACCTCGGTTGCAGGCTCATTCATTCCCTGGCCGCAGTCGGGCACATGCAGGAGATAACCAATCGGTGTGTCTCTCTCACATCGATGTTTTTCTCTCTCTCTCTCTGCCCCCTTTCACTCCCTCTGAAAAGCAATGGAAAAAATATCCTTGGGTAAGGATTAAAAAATAATAATAAAATCAATAAAGACCAAAAAAAAATCTTGAAAAAGAAAACAAAGTCTTTGAAAATAGTTTGCTCACTTGAAATATAATGAAGTCTTTGCCAATTGTCTCTAGAGAAGTTCCTTAAAAAGCACATTCAGGTATTAGGTATTACTTTGTCCCCTTAGCAAGTATTATGGTAGATGGGGTCAGTCAAATGTATTAGAACTCTGTTGTTTTTAAGTGTGGTAGGCAGTTAGGCAGACATGGGCAGAGCAAGGACAATGGGTCAGGTACAGAAGGCCACCAGGGCGGAAAGCCCCAGGTGCCCAGCAGGGACAATTGTAGGGTGGGACCTCGCCCCCAGGGTGGCCTTTCCTCCGCTAGCATACTGCCGGTCATGCAGTTTGGACTCCCTGACCTTTCCTCCCTAGAGATAGCATCTAGGCCTCAGTTGTAGTTCAGCTCCAGGCCCAGAAAAGCAACAAAACCAGCCACAACTTCCTCACTCCCAAGGCCCCTTCCTTTACCGCTATAACTTGTTTCCTAAGCCCATTTCCTCTAGGAATTACTTCTGCTACCTCTGTGATTTTATAAATAAATGTTCTCTTGCTCTGAATTCTTTCCTAGCTGGAACTCAAGTACTGAGGTTGCTGAACCCAGGTCCAGTCTCAGGTCAGATACCCGGTGCCTTTCCCGCCACCTACAACACAAGCAGTTGTTTATCATGGCAACTGTTTCATTTGCCTGGTCCTGTCTCCTGGATCTTTCGAGAACATTTTAGTGAGGAAGTGGAAATTCTACTTTATGTTGTTGCACCTTCCTTGTATAATATTTTTTCTCATTTTTCTCTTTGTCCTTGGTTTTTATTTTCCAATCTGCCCCCTCCTTCACCATATCCTTTTCATAGATCATCTTTTCAACTTTCAAAGACCTTTTCAATTTTTGTGGCATAACACTCCATACAAGCTAGCGAGGTAAAAAACATGTACACCCTCCTTAATACCGGAATATAAACATTTACCTGGCAAACATTGCTGCTTTTGAAAAAGTCAGCCCCTGGTTACCCCACGTGGTGGTGCCAGTGCCTCCTAGTGTTTGTTCCCTGTGTAACACTCACCTTGAGTGTGGGCTGGACCTGGGGACTTGCTTCTACCAGACAGAATACAGCAAAAATGATGGGCTGTCAAAAACAATTCTGGTTCCTGTCACCGGACTGAAGAGATCCATTTGCCTGGACGCATTGATGCCCGATAAGACAGAAACAAGGGTTTGCAGCCAAGAAAGTAGGAATTTATCAAGAAGATGGCACCATGCCGAGTCACACAGGTAGCTCGTGCTCAAAGACCTGGCTCCCGGATGGCTTCTAGAGGATGGGTCATATAGGGTGAAAAATCATTAATCATGGTGACTAAGGGAGGTAGGGTCAAGGTCAGGGTCGTAGTCTTTACTGATTGGTCAGTGCTAGGGCAGGGGGTAGTTGATCCTTGCATATGGTCCTGACGTCAGCCATGGTTTCACAAGGATGAGGTGGGTGGGGGTCAATCTGGGGCTGAAACACAACTGAGGCCTAGATGTTACCTCTAATTTGACAGAAACTCTTTCCCTGTGGTCAGCAGACCCTAGGCTTTGCTGACCAGAACCTCATTGTCCCAAGGGCTTAATGATTAAGCAAGGGAGAGGGAGGTGCGTGAGTCAGGGAACTAGGTGAGGCTAGTTTGAATCAAAGGGGTAAAAAAATCAAAATAAAAGGCCAAATTAAAGAAAATAAGGTTTGTGCGCAGTTATACTCCTGACCGCTTGTTTGGTCTTCCTCTCTTCCCTGCTTGCTCTCAGGGAAGCAGGCCGCCATGCTGTGAGCTACCCCATGGAGAGGCCTACATAGCAAGGAGCTAAGGAAGGTGTCCAGCCAACAGCCAGCAAGGAGCTGAGGCCCTCAGTCCAACAACCCAGGAGCACCTGATTCCTACTAATAACCACGTGAGTGAATATGGAAGCAGACCCTCCCCTGTGGAGCCTTGAGGTCACTGCAGCCTTCCGAGTGATCCTGAACCCAAAGACCCAGCTAAGCCTCGCCCAGATGTCTGACCTACAAAAACTAAAGATTATAAATGCATGTTGTTTTAAGCCACTAAGTCTTTCCTTCATAAAATAAGTAATATGATAATTGGTACCCTAAATGTTTAATTAAATTTATCTCTACTCTAATAGTAATGTCGCAATCCCTAACGATGAGTTTTATCGGCCTCCTTTGTTTCATAGTTACAGTTTGTCTTACTACTTTTCTTAAAAAATATTTTTTTATTGATTTCAGAGAGAGGAAGGGAGAGGGAGAGAGAGAGAGACATCAATAGTAAGAGAGAGTCATTGATCGGCTGCCTCCTGTACACCTCCTGCTGGGGATCGAGCCCACAACGGGGACCTGTGCCCTGACTGGGAATCGAACCAAGAGCTCGATCATAGGTTGATGCTCAACCGCTGAGCCACGCCGGCCAGGCATATCTTATTATTTTTACTTTTACACTTCATACTAGCTTTATAAGTGATTAATCCGCTACCTTTACAACATTAGATTACTCTGAATTTAACTATATATTTACCTTTACCAGTGAGATTTGTACTTTCAGGCTTTCCTGCTACTAATTCGTACTCTCATTTTAGTTTAAAGAAGTCCCTTTCACATTTCTCGTATGTCTGATCTATGATTGGCGTCCACAAAAAGAGAGAGAGAGACACAAGCACGCACAGGGAGGAGAATGCCATGTGAAGACATAAACTCCTGAGAGGTGGAAGCCATGTGATGACGGAGGCAGAGCTCAGACAGATGTAGCTCTAAGCCCCGGGAACCCAGGATGGACAGTCACCACCGGAACAAGAGCAGGCAAGGAAGGAGCTACCTGAAGTCTCAGGAAAAGCACGGCCTTGCCGACACCTTGATGTCAGACCTCTGGCCACCAGAACTGTGAGACGATTTCTGTTGTTCTAAGCCACCCAGTTGGTGGCACCCTGGTGTGGCAG